CAAATTCATTAACTCTGACCTGCAGATCAGACCAAATTACATTTATTCAATAATTTCAATATTGTCATGACACCTGTGAGATAAGCACTAATTGTAAAAGCAAGTATGACTGCGACTGTGAGCTGCTTAATTTTGTTTACCTTTAACTGGTTCTTGGCCTTTCCAACTCTAATGCATATTTCAGTGGTATTAATTAATACAGGTACGTATTGTGATGGGTTTAAAATTTGACAGAATCAATGGATGTTATGTTTCCTTTCAAGCAGTCTCTATCAGCACGTGTGAGCCACCGTGCATTATTATTTAGCATGTGGGCTTGCTTTGTTTGGCCATCCAAATTTTATTCATATTATGAATATACCGCCTATTAAAGCTCATTCTCTATTCGCTTGTCAAACAGTACAACTGACTTTTATTATATTGTTGTTTGAGTAAACTTAGGCTACTGGTTAGAAATTGATTAATGAAGATAAACCGGAGTCCTATTGTCTCACTATGTGAACTCAGGTTAGGCATGGCTCTCCCAATTGGTAACTCATATTAATCAATATACTATCTTACAAAGATTTTCATACAAAAGATGGTAAAAATGAATAAAGAGTGAAGCAAAAGTCAACTCATTAATTCACTCTTCCATTTATTTTTTGCTATTACTTTGTATAAGATCTTTGTAAGTATAATATACTCTATAATATATGAAATTTAATCATCCATCCGAGTACAATTTAAAAAGAATATACAATTAACGCACATATTGTCGGCTGTTTATCTGTTCAACCTTCTTAATATGAGTTGGTTATAGTATACACATCATGATAATAGTATATATTATGATTCTTATCCAAACCTCAACTATTTGAGCATGTGGGTTGTCCTCCTTTAATTCATGTCTTTATGTTTTACTTGAATACATAATGGGATGATATTACCTTCAATAAATCTTTCAAATCATATTACTTGTGGTCTCTATCATTTTAGTTTTGGTCTGTGCACGGATAGGGAAAAGAACGAAAACCAACTAGGCTCCAACTCCAATTAATTTTCCATCAATGAATAACAACTAAAGGATCCAATTATATATTCATAAATGTGTCTACTATCACATCTTACATCACCACCACTCGATCGAAATGCCCTGCCCAGTGTGACACCATCTTATCGAATAATCGAACATGTAGGTTTGGCAAATACCCGTTCAGTCATTCAAAGAGCTGACCCTGCCATACCTGATTATTAAGTCATATGAAGATTTTAATTTGAACTGTTATAAAATAAAGGCAGGCTGAAAGGCGATAAACAATATTTTTTTCAGATAATGAAGGAAAATATATATTAGGGTTAAGAATGAAGTCAAATATAATATCTTAGGATTATATTCCATCAATCTTCTATCCCAAATATGACTGTTAATGATCAACGTCTATTAATTATAAAGAATGTGATAAGTGAATAACTTTTTTCTTAATTAATATGAAATTGACAGACATCACCACATCATTTGACATACAAAATTAAAATGTAACTTTATATTTGTAACATTATGTTATCATTATATTAAGGGTTAAATTTTAAAAAGGAAATTATAAAGGAAAATGAGAATCTTAATTTGAGTCTTGTTGGTTAGTCAATCCAATCACTTTATCACCGGCAAAAAATAGAATATAGATAATGTCTGCAATAAAACCTAATACGAAATGACAATCTTTTTTGTAATTTACTAATTGACCTATCTTTGACACAGAAATCTGATGACTTTATTCAGACTTCAGAGAATTGATTTGATTTCATCATACATTATATTAATTTCCTTATAGTAATAATCGGAGCTCAATGATTATATTAACATTGCTATCCGAATCCTTAACAGTAAGACAATGTTATTATTATATATAATATATATATATGCACATAATTCTATTTCTTGCTATTTCTGTATATAATTTGAAGGTCAACAAATAGCTACCTAGTATTAGTCGATGTTAAGTTGTTAAATTTTTTGTTTTATTTTCTTCAATTTTCCGTCTGAATTAGTTTAGATTAATCATCATGGTATATGAAAAGTCTTGAGATGTGCATCTATTCGATTATGCATTTATTTTAAAGCTAATATAGTTGTAAATATGTTATTATTGGTTGATTTTTTTATATCTATATAGTTTCCGTAATTTAAAGTGATTCTGGAATTAATCCCTCCACTTTAGACTATCGATCAAGTAAGAGTTTCAGTATCATCCCTATTACAAGGTGAATTGAACTCAAACTTTTTAAATAACATACTCAAAGTTCTAATTGATGACTGAGTCATTCAATGATGGTTTATAATGGTAATGTTATGCTTACTACGAACTTACTATCCACTTACTCACCTTTTTAAATACATATATACCCGTACATGTATATGGTACCCATACTATATTTTATATTTATAAAGGTTAATAAGTTCGTGAGTAAACATAGCATTTTGTTTAATATTGTAATTATAAAGTTACTGAGTCAGTAATAAAATAATTATAAATCTTTTGGCAAATGTTATCCTGAATGTTTCTATTATTCGTCTTAGAAAAACACAGTAGGAAATGTCAAACCAAAAGTTTGCCCAAAACTTTCGAGCAAACAGTGATTAATAGATGAGAGTTTTCTTCCATTTGGGACACTTATGAGTTAATGGCTCTGGTTGATGCTTGATTTTGGATACCAACGATTCGTATGTGTAAAGTATTAAGAGAGTCTTAAAAATTACACGAGATGGATCCATGAGATTTGAATATGGTGTTGATATTATATATGTTGCAGAAACATAAATAATTGACTGATAAGAAAAGTTTTTATAGTGGTTCGGATACTTAAAGTAACTCTTATATCCACTGTTATTTTATTATTCTCTAACTGTTTCTATGATATTGTCCGTAAGACATACAAAGATGAAGAAATACTTTGCTGACAGAGAGAAATAATGAAGCTCAAATCTATGTCTAAATCTATGTTTAGCTCTCATCTGTCTAGCCCTCCTTTTCGTGAAGAGAAGTGTCAATTTATACACCTTCGAGGCCAATGTAATGAGTATTTTGCAAGTTGTTTTGACACATGAAAAGCTTTCATCGTTTCTTTTCTTAAAATGAGATAGGGTTGGTATAAGATATCTTTGAAGCGGTATGGGCTTGACAGGAAGTACACTTTATTTTTTGAGTAATGCTACACTTATAAAAAAAATTTACAAAGATCTCCATACAAAGTGATATGGTAAAAAATAAAAGGAAGAGTGAATTTAATGAGTTTGACTTTTTGTTTCACTCTTCCATTCATTTTTTGTCACCTCACTTTTGTATGCAAATCTTTGTAAGATTTCTTTGTAAATATAATATTATTGTTAATTTTTTTAGGCTCTTATCTTGTTCTTCCAAGACAACATGATTGGAATTCATTAATCTTCACATTATAGGTCGTGTTTTGATCAGTAAATTAACGAAGATCAGTCTTAGATTAACCATCTAATTATTAGTTAATTAACAGAATTAAAGTTTGGAAACTCGTGCACATTAAGCAACCACTAAACAACTGTCACTTACACGCATCTTCAAAATAGCTTCAAGCCACGAAGCTTACTTCTATCTCAAACAATTACCATTCTTCATCTCACATCTATACTATCCATCTCTTTTCTTTTTCAATCACTCAACAACGACTTTGGTTATTTCCAGTTATCAAAAATCTCACTCAAATAATTGTACCTTAAATAAAATGTAGGGTTGGAGTTGTTTGACTCTTTTTTTGATAAAAATGATTTATTTCATTTCATTTCATTTCAAAATAACAAATCTATTCCGACAAATTCATCAGGTCTAGACCCACTGCGTCAGTCTACTCCTCCCAAAAACTCTGATGTATTCCCCCACTTTAACCATCAAAGTTCAGCTGTTAGGGTTCTCAATTCCAAATAAAACGTGGCCAGTTCCTCCTTTCAACTTAGGATTCTACGTGGCATTTATTAATTGGTTAAATTCAGGGATTCTTCATTTCAATTATGCAACAAAGAAAAGTGATTTCTATGTCTTTTAGTTTAGCTTTTGGCTTCTGAGTCTGAGTATGAGTCTTTTCCTCTCACTTCACAAATTTCCAATTTACCCTACGCTGTCGCTATGTATACGTATATTTATGTAGTCTTATGCATGGCCCTCTCTATAATGGTCTTTTTATTGGTTTCGAATCATCAACCAGTCCCCATCTCCAATAATTCATACAAATGTAATGACAAATATGACAACACTTTCATCTCCGCATGTTATACACTAAAACATACTCACAAGTTCAGGCTTATACCATATAGATGGCGGCAAGAGTTAATATCATTGTAGGTTAACATAACAATTTCTGGTGTCCAACTAGCGAGATTGTAAATTTAGACCCACAAATTGATGGGGAGTTAAACGCCAATTGACGATCGATATCAATCGCCGTCTCTCGGCTGTAAACAGATACATAGAGTGAATAAATAATTGGGTGGATTGCTATGACTTCAACTCAAGAATAGTTGACCAAAGTTGAATCACACATCAAGAGATTGTTTTAATTTTAATTAGAAGACATAATAATTAAGAGCAAGTGAATTCCTCTGTTTTTGTTAGTTGCGTGTGGGTCGTGTCAATATGAAACCTCAACCCCATCTTTACTGTTACAAATTTTGTTAGGCAGTGTTAACATCCCTTGCAATAATACAGTAAATTTAGTTTTTTTTTTTCTTTTTGTTAAATTAAGTTCAAAGAAAAAGATCAGAAGAATTATATGGTAGACAAGGCTAAATGAAGAATAGGGTGAGAACAGAAAACAAGAATGAATAATCAGAAGAGATGGGGGTGGGTTGGGTTGGGTAGGGCCTGATGACGGCTTGTGCTTAGCTGGATGGAAAGCTATATCAGCGATGGCCCTTTCAATTTGAATGCAGCAGTCTGCATCAATTCTATCTCATTAAGCTTCCCGCCTATATAAATACATACCCACATAACATTTCTAAACCATACTCATAATAATCATCTATCTTTTTTCTATATAGTTTTCTTCTCACCACTCCAAACTTATGGGTTCCTTAAGAATTTCTGTTGTATTACTTTGCTTCTTCAGTCTTGCATTCTGTCTCTTAGTTTCAGGACGACCGGCTACGTTTCTTCAAGACTTTAAAGTCACATGGTCTGAGTCCCATATCAGGCAAATTGATGCAGGGAGGGCCATCCAACTGGTTCTAGACCAAAATTCAGGTGGGGTCGATGGCTATTATTTTTAGTAAATTAATAATTGTTTTTTTGGATCATGATTAAAATTTGTAGGTTTATTGATAATAAAAAAAAACATGCATTTACAGGATGTGGGTTTGCTTCCAAAAGGCAGTTTTTGTTTGGGCGTGTAAGCTTGAAGATCAAGCTTATTCCTGGAGACTCTGCTGGAACTGTCACGGCATTTTATGTAAGTTAGCATTATTTGTCTTAAGTACACTTAATTTTCTGTCTAAAATATAATGAAACGAACATATATTTCTGGTTTCTTGGTGTTAATTTGATAGATGAATTCTGACACCAACACTATAAGAGACGAGCTGGATTTTGAGTTCTTGGGGAATCGAACTGGTCAGCCTTACACAGTTCAAACCAATATTTATGCTCATGGGAAAGGTGACCGGGAACAAAGAGTCAACCTCTGGTTTGATCCTGCAGCTGATTTCCACACTTACTCCCTTCTCTGGAACCATCACCATATTGTGTAAGTCAACTATTTAACCATAAACAAATCATCTAAACGTTTCTCGAATCAGTATGTATTTTTTTACAAAATATGAACCTTTTGTTTTGGATGTGGGCATATGCAGATTCTATGTGGATGACGTGCCAATCAGGGTTTACAAGAACAGCGGCAGGGCCCCATATCCCACGAACCAACCGATGGGAGTGTACTCAACACTGTGGGAAGCGGATGATTGGGCGACAAGAGGAGGTCTGGAGAAAATTGATTGGAGCAAAGCTCCTTTTTATGCATACTACAAAGACTTTGACATTGAAGGATGCCCAGTTCCAGGACCAACAAACTGTGCCGCAAACCCCAGAAACTGGTGGGAAGCAAGTAATTATCAAGCCCTCAACGCTATTGAAGCAAGAAAATACAGGTGGGTTCGTATCAACCACATGATTTATGATTACTGCACTGATAAATCAAGATACCCAGTTACCCCACCCGAATGCATGGCCGGCATATAATCCAAGTCAAACCAATCAAACAATTGCAAAATACATATTCATATATCTTCACACTGTCCTTGTAAACCATTTCGTGCTATGATAGCCATGCAAAGTGTGGGTGAAAAGGAGAATAAGTGTAATTCTGGGATTCCAGAAATTTAAGTCACTTCTCTACCTACTTTGTACAATATATATGTCTGTATCTAATGCACAGTATTCTGTGCCAATAAAAACATATGTGTGTAGTTGTGAAAACGGAGTTGCCCCACTTTAATTTAATTTACACACTCAGTTTTCAAACGTGAAGAAGAAAAAAATCTTCTTGCTATATATAATTTCAACTGTTTGAGACTTTGAGTAATGGAGTGTTGAAATATCGAAGGAAAAGGTTAAGTCTATAATGGGTCCAGTACGGCAGAATGCAGACAAACAAATAATAGGAGGGAACACCGACACTGCAATTATCTTCTAAGATTTGAGTTATTACTGGTGAGTCTGTTATGGGCAAAAGAATAGAAATGAAAAAGAGAAGGAATTGCCACTGTTTTGGATTGGATTGTATTGTGTTTGTTTTATTCTTAAAAGGAAATGCTATTTCATTACAAGTTACCTATAACAATAGTTAGATCACCTCAAATGAACAATTCAACTTCACCAAAATGATTGATATCTGGGTCTCTTTGCTTAAACGCACGTAGCCAATAGATGGTCCCGGGGCGAGGGCCACGACCTTATTAATGAGAAAGCTGGCGTGTTAATGTGTGAGCGTGATGCCAAATATGCGTTTCCATACAAGAATTTATAGTGCTTAATCTTACCAGCTTGTTTGTTGAATTAACACCTCAATCCAATACGGAAAAATCTAGATAGAAGCACAATCGATCACATTTGAATTATTTCCTTAATTATGAAAATCTTTTAAACGTAACAATTGAACACCAACAAAGAGAAAATAGAACTGAAAACGACGACTTGTACCAACAAGTTGCTGCATAAGCACTAGAGTGTGCAAAGCAAGTTTGGTCTTCATTGGTTTCCGGTGTTCAAGCTTTAACGCCACTTATTATGTTTGTAACTTACAGTAGAACATTAAGTTTGTAAGATATTCAATGAATCCTGATGATTAGTCGAGATGTACACAAATTGGCACACACACCTTGATCATAAAAAAAAAAAAAATTGGATCATCGTTTATTGTAAAGAAATTAATGTCAAATATAAAATTGCTTCTTCTTTTTTCAACAAATAAATGTTACACATTTCAAGTTTTGATATTTTGAAATAATTTTTATTCTATTTTTGATATCATATTAAAACTAATGAAAGAGATATTGAAAGAAAATTCTGATAAACCTGACTCTTGTAACTTTAATGACTTACAAATAAAACACAAGTTACATCCTCTGTAAATAAAAATACGTTTTCCCACCAGTGACATCAAAATCATGCATGCTTTGATTAAACAAGAGATTAGCTAGAGGTTTAATTACGGACCCCAACCCTCATTCTCTCAACCCCAAAGTTCTTTGATTTGAGACACTGAGGGACCACCCTGTGAAAGCTTTGGCAAGACACATGTTTGTCATCAGTAACATCTTCTCCTTGTTTAAATGGATGATTAATAAAAACAAATATATAATTAACATGTTACAGTCTCTACTCCACCGAGCACTAAAATAGGTTACCGACGAGATTGATGAAAAAAGCGAATTTTTACACGATTGGCCGTATACCATTAAGCGTTTTATTTTTTGTCTTTTTAAAAACTTACTAATTGGTTTTCTTTTTAACACACCTGAATTAAAAATTCCCAAACTTTAATTTTTCTTAAACTTATGTGACTGAAAAATAGAATTGATAACAAAGAAAGCCACAACCGCAATGTTTCAACCAAACAGTATCATTGGAAAGCTTCAAAGCAGAACACATGCGGCCAAATATATATACTTCAGCAGGAAATCACTTACAAATCATGGAGTTGAAATACCCATATGTCTTTGGCAGGTCCCGATCATGTGCAAAAACCTATAATCAAGTCACTAGCCAAATGGATAAGATTAAAACAAAAAGTATGGACAGCAAGGGACACTCATGGTTAAATCATAGGTCCCAGTTAATGAAACAGTAGAGTACTATGAGTGGGGAAACTACGTGCGTGCACTATTAATGTCATTCACATCAAATTTTCAATCTTTGGAGGATAAGTTCTTTGTAGCTGCATTTGCCGAAGAGGTTTAAAGATCCTCATAACTTCACAATCCAATATATTTAATAGAATAATTGCGAGTTGTAACTGAGGAACTCACTGCTTCTTATCTTCAATGATGGGTGCAAGAAATAGGATTCCATCTTCGATGAAACTGAAATAATGTTGATGAATTATGATTTTGTATTGTTGATTTTGACAGCAACTGGCTCTGAACAGTATGGACAATTCCCAAACAGAACATCATATGACCTGCAACACAAGCATACACTGGAACCATAAAACAAGCAGCCAAGATGGACACTAGAGCATCTAAGATATCCATGATTAATGCCACATGTGATGCATTATTAGCCAGACCTCTCTACTGCATATTCACTTCATCCACCGATACACACTAAAATATTCTTTTCATCCAAAATAATCTTGTAGACAAATTGTTGTCATGACTTGGTGTGATGATAATTAATTAATTATGGGTAATAAGTGTGCTTGGAAGCAGCAGAAGCATAGTGTGCAGGCAAAAATGGGAAAACGCACTCATGAGGTCAGATTTAGAAATACAATAGGATTAGAGATTAAGTTTACCTATACTTTCAGAGCATTGTAAGAAAGAAAAACTTATCCATTGTTCAAAAAATACAAATCCTAACACTACTTCATCTAACAAGGCAAAGTTCCAATTATTTTTTGAAAACAATCCAATAGAAGTACTTTGTGCCTATGTAATATATACTTCCGGTCAGTACTTCCAATCAGCAACAAAACAATATTAATTTAACTTCTCATGTAAAGTTGCAAAAACTAAGCAAAACTATAAGGCAGCTTCTGCATGTTTGGATAAGCAAATTCTAGATAACACACAACCAAAAAACGAGGAACACTAGTATAGTTTATATCAGAACGGTAGGAAATGTCACAAACAATATCAACTTACAACTTTTATCATTATGCATAGCTAGGGAAAATTAATTCTCTCCTCCTTTATGAACCAAATAAAGCTTCAAATCCTAGTATCCTACCAAAAGGTATATAAGGAAAAACCTCAAAAGTTGGAAAACTCAACATACTGCCTTGTTGTTGTGATGGAGCGCAACCAGTCTGCAAGACATACAGAATGAAAAGCCCTACTGCAACTGGTGTTATCACATTTATAATCAGTTCCACATCCACTCTTAGCTCCCAGCTCGTCATCTACAAAAACTTGACAAAGTCAAGGAAAATCAATGTGGTATATGTTTGGGAAAATCTAATCAAAGGTATGACGCATTACCAACAGGTAAAAATTGAGCATAGCAAATCCCACATTCCACTTGCTGATCACTGTTCTGGTAATCTGGGGGCCTTGGCAGTTCAGCATCCAAAAGATTTGCAACATTTTCCAAAAATGGCTTGTCCTTGTTCCTTTAAATAGATGTATAAAATATAACAATAATTTAAAACAGATTGGAAGATCAAAGGAAAACTTTTTTTTCAGAAAACAAGTAAAATGGGATAGGAAAGAAATGGTTGGCTCATGCAAGAGACCGAATTGGTAATATAACACATATACCCAATATTTTTTGAGGGGAGGAGACAAGGCAGGCAGGTGTTTCTTCTTTTTCTTTTTACCAACATCCAAAACCTTCAAACGATTACAACATTAAAACAATACTTATTCTATCTCAGTTTTCCTTATCTCTTAATCTCAACCTGCTAGGAAAACCTCAGGACATTAAATTAAACATAGCTGGACTATTGAAAACAAAAGACAATTAACAACTTGCAGATGAAGCAAATACATCCCTCTAAATGGCTGTTCTATGGTATCTATTACTTTCTACTAAACAAGTTCAAAAACTAAAAAAATCAGGCTAAAGAAGAAAATGAAAGCTCACCATCTCTTGCTGTTTCTTTGCCATGTTTTCCTCAAGGAATTCAAGGTCGGACCAGAACCCATAAAGCGACACCTAACGAAAGTTGAAAAAAAATTACTGAATGTAAAGAAGTTAGCAATGCAGTGGAGTATGTAATTGGTGATAAAGACTTACTCAGGCAAAGACTTAGGATCATTGGCATGTATACACAACATGATGAAGCAATCATTACCTGAAGTTGGAGGACAAGATTTATAAACCTGAAAGAGTTTAGAATGATAACAGACCAAAACGAGAACTGAGCTATAAATTCAAGCATACACAGCTAATATTACCCAAATTAATTTGTCTACAGATATTAGCACGAGACAGCCGGTTCAAGTCAACAACCCAAAGAGATTTGTCAATCTCATCCAAAATAGTCCAAATTTCCTGAAGTTTCTCCAGATGCTAGGTAAAAAGAGAGGTCGGCACTGTTTAGTAAAGCAACAACTCACAAGGATGACCTATTGATGAGATAAACAGAGTCCTCAAGTGGTAACTAGTAGTGCATATAGAAAATAAATTAATTCTAAGAAATCTTAACAAATACCTCTTGGAACTGCTGCAGCAAATCTTTCAATCTTGAATCTCTAGACCACTTTAACCTAAATATGCATGGCACATCCTGAGGAAGAGGTCCAAAAGGCATAAGAACTGAAATGAAAAAATTGAAAGATAATAAAATAATATGATACCAACCACTGAAATCGAAGGTGGGCTTTTGGGATAGCTTTTATCCAATTGAATTTCGATATAGTGCACTCTCTTCTTTTTATCTCTAGCACTCAAATAGCAAAGTGGTAAGTAAAATACAATAAAGAGCATGAAAAAAACATAAACAACTGAGGAAATAAAGGCACATAACAGGAATGAGGCATTCACAAACAATTGATAAGAAAATTGCCACCAAAATGGCATTAAGTTGCAACATGCTATCGTAAAAATCTGGGAGATACAATTGTAATCTTTCTCAGCATTATATAAATATGGTATACCAGCAAGAAAACTACAAGTTCGTTTATGCCAACTCATGTTTAAGACTAAACATCTTCCATTTGCAAGTCCCAAGAAATGCATATGTATATTACTATACAAGGCCCACATGGAACAGGAGATTCTGTAAAAAGTGTAGTATAACTATTAGTAAGATGGATCTGCATGACAAAGAACATTTTCCCTTTAAAATCTGCCTAAAATGAAAGAAATTAGAACCGGTAATATAATCATGTAATTTATTAAATCAATAAAACTATGCTTACTCACAATCTTACTAACCATCTTACTATCCTGATAAATATAACGGCATAGTACGGGTACTATGCGTATGGTACCCGTACTATGACGTTATATTTTCCAGAATTGTAAGATGGTTAGTAAGATTGTGAGTAAGCATAGCATTACTCTTATTAAATTTGGATGTAAATTGCATATTAGACACCTAGCTTATAATTGGTATTCTAGAAGTTCTATGCAAGAATATCTGGAATTCTTATCATTTGCCTTAATTGTAAGTCAACAAATTTATACAATTTTTTTCCTTAAACTTTGGCGTGCTAGTAACAAAATTGTTAACGAACAAACAGCCATGGTCATTGTACAGGAAGAAAAGCAATACCCTAACACAAAAGATTAATCTGGTACATGGTATCCCAAAACTAAGTCATACAGGAAACATGCTTAATCACTTAGGTCTCACCCGATTTCAAAAATATAGATCATTGCGAAATCAATTTAAGGTTCTTTTCTAAAGAGACTTTTAGGAGCTCTTTTCTAAAGAGTTTTTTTTTTTTTTTCAATTTAAATCTCAACAAACACATTTGCTTATTTCTACAAAAATGAATATAAAAGAAAGGATTGAAGCAAAAGAATCTTACAAAACACGAAAGCTAAGAAACTTTAGGTCTTCACTCAGCCTCACTAGATGCTCCCATCCAACCTCTTCTATCTGTAATGTGAAATTAAAGAAATTAATAGACATCAAATTAAAGGCAAAAAAATCCTTGAATTCGACACCATTACTTGCGCAAAGAAATGAAATTTAACATACATATAAAGTAGTTTAATTTTTAGGAGTAAGAAAGAGCAATGACGATTCAAGTCACCTCTGAGTACACCGCGCGACTAAATGACGAGAAATTGGCCAACGCTCTGTGTCTGTTCTGTTCAACACGTTCCTGAAAGTAAAATGAAGATACAAATAATAACAGAAAGCATTAGAGTGACTCATTTTCATTCCCAAATGAAATTCTAACCAATGTAAAGCAAGCATTTATAATTGAACAGTGTACCATTTGATTTGGCGAAATGATCTTAGAAAATAACACGGCGGATGAAGGCTTTTCACAGTGAAAATACCAGTACTACGGTTCCATAATCGTCGACAAAATCTAATTCTCACACTAGAAGACAGGCGGGTCGGATTTAAAAATGGTCTACACTTGTTCAGCCCATGAAAAACTAATTTGGGCTCAATGGATTCAATTTACTTGATGAAAATAACTTATAAACAGTGTTTATAAGAAAAAAAAAAAAAAAAAATTGGTCCCCAACTTATTTTTTTGGTACTTATATGCCTAAACTATAAGCCAAAAATAGTTATAAACAAATAAGTTAACTTAATTTTAAAACAAATACACACTTTGTGAGAGATTATTTAGGATATTTTTCTAAATTTAGATTCACATTATTCATGATGGTAAATATCATTCACCACCCACTAAGCAAATAAGCAGCACGTCGTTCATAAATAAAACGATGTTGTCTCATTTTTCACAAACAACGTTGGCACTTGGCTGTAACAAACGACGTGTTGTTTGGAGAGAAATGACATGCCATTTGTAAACTTCATAAGTTTATGGTAACTATTGCTTAGGTACATGAGAATCAAGAAAGTATTGTCATTTTGGATATAAAGATATAAATCGGGGGTTTAAATATATTTATCACATAACAGAAATAATGTCATTTTGTTTCCTTAAAATGACGTGGTTGTCAAAGTAAGCAACATCTTGTTTATCTGATGAATAAAATGTTGACTGAAATAAACACTATTGTTTTTTCATTTATAAATGGCGTCATTTTTTTGTTATAACCAACATGTCGTTCATCAAGAAAATGACAAGTCGTTTTGTTTTCCATGTGCTGTCGTTTTAGTTTTAGAAACGATGTCGGTTTGGTAAGTAATAAACGCCATGTCGTTTATATTTAAAGCGATTTATTTATATTTGAAGCGACCAGTCATATTCAAGAAATATCATTTAACCCCAATTATTTATCGGAACATATTGAAACCCAATATTAATGATTCTTTATGGATCTAAGTGATATTTACGATAAAGAATTTTGAAAGGCCTGAGGCAATAGGTCCGTTCTTCCCGGGAGAAGAACAAGTGTTCAAGGGATGTGGAGTGGCCGAGTGGATGCAATGTTGAGGGACTTTTACCTGCTGAAGCTCTAGCGTTTGAATTCGTATGCCTTTGAAGATCACAATCCTAGGGAACGTCATCTGCAGCTGTCAAAAGAGGTAATATTTTATGCTAAAAGTTCTCCATTTGTCTTTAAATTTTTGGGTTCTTCTCTATTTTCAATTTGGAAAGAAACCAGGAGATTAGAATGTACATAATATGTGGCATGTGCTACAAATCTGTTGTGATGGGTTAGTTATGAAGCCAATAAAATAATTTTAGTTATCGCATCTTTATTGAATGGAATGGACACATATTAAACAACACGGTAAACAATTATGGTTTATTACTAGAAATGGGTGGAGAAAATGTTTTGCAGGAATCAAGTTAAAATCGACGCAGTGGTTTGTGATCAACTGTTGTAGTGGGTATATATTCTATTTCGAAATTTCTTTTCTGTTTTCTCTTTCTTCGTTTTTTGAGATCCTTAACTTTTGTATTTGTATATTTTGATCCTATTAAGGCATTATTGGTTTGGAAATATCAAAGATCCTGAATTCAAAGAGACGAGTTCATGAAAGACAATTTGAAATGGAATTCATAAATTAAGATAATTCGTAAATTAAAGACAAAATTGAAATAAGATTTGAGCTGAATGTTGTTCTGTATTATGCTTTTTCTTTTAAAGTGTATTTGACAACAGAGGCTTTCGTCCTACTGTTAGAATTGAGAAACTGTATCTTGTATTCTTTAGGAAGTTAGAGAATGAGATTCTAATTCCACTTAATGCTACATTTCACTGTTAGTTGTTGTTTGGAAATATGCTTGCTAAGCCTTAGCCACAGAGAAGGGGAAGTGAATCAATTGACATGCATTTCTAAGACTTTTACTCCATGAATTGATTGGATGAATTGATTGGATGAGATCATTCTCAACAGATCTCTTATAACTTTTTTCTGTAGTCTTCAACATTAAAACTTTGTAGATAGCAGAAGTGATATGGTTTTTCAGCTGTTTAATTTAAAACCAATTATGATTTTGTTATTATTAGCATTTTTTTTTATCATATACTTCTGCTTACATGCACATATACTTATATATTTGTTGGACAATCCATGAAACAAATAGCCTCAGACATGGATCCCCTAGACTTTGAGGAGTTGCTGATTTGTATGCTTCATAGTTAATTCCGTGGACTGCAACTGCAGTAGAAATCAGGATGGAAATCATGAAATTTGATATTTGTGGTCTAGGAATCTATGCTGTATGATCAACTTCGGCAGGTGGTGGCCAAGTGAAGTCCTGTCTGGGAACACTTGCAGGAAGTAAGATATTCTCCTAACCGTAATTCTTTCCACTTTTGAATCTCATTGACACTTTGGGTTCAGTAACATGACTTTCCCAGATGAGAGGTACTAATCTTTGTGGGAATTAAAGATCTTTCTAAGTGGAGAATATGCTTTATGGGCATAATGCAATAAAATTGTGACATGGCTTTGGTCTAGTTGATATTTTTTTCTTTTTTTTTTTATGGACACCAAAAGCCAATGAATTGAGTGATACTTGGATTCCATCGAATATTTACTAGTTAGCATCTAATGTAGTGAAATTGTCATGCCAAAAGGACCTTCTATTACTCTTTTGATAACCATTGTGGTGAATCAGCGGTTCCAAGCGTGATCTAGCTGGTTTTTTATGTGTATATATGCGTGACTGAGGCTTGCTTATATCTTGTTACAGAGGACTCGGCAAAGGAGATGGTGGCTCTTCTAAAAAGGTTATTTCAACCGGTTCTTCATGTGGTCAGTGCAATGACAATACTTCTATTATTTGTGTTCATTTATTTTAAATTTTCATTTTGTATAATTTGTAATTCCCCATGTTGTTCCTCTCTGAAAATTCAGGCTTCCCCTCTCTAATACTATTCACACTTACTAATACTTTGAGATGGTTAGAAATTGATCTTGATGCTATAGGGGTATCTGTAGGAAATCTCAAGTCCTTTTCTTGCCATACAGGTTTTTGTGCTACAATATGCTGCATATACATTGCAACCTGGAAATATTCGTATTCTTGTTTTGGTATTACTGTCATTTTATCGATCTTCTTGGCATGAAAAACTTCACTGTAAATGAAAACCTGAAGATTGATGGTAGCTTGGTAGGGGAGGTGTTTGTGTAATATGGCATACCTTTGGGTCTACTTGTCAATTTTGGATATTCAGGGGATGTAAATAGTTTAAACCCCTAATTTTATTTAAACCGCTCATGTTTGAGTCAATGGTTATTGGAATTTACTTTGGAGATAGCCACTAAAATTCCTCAGTTTTCAAATTCACTATGATCGCTTCATCTCACCCAGAACTCTCTTAACTTACTGGTTTATAACTCAATTCAATATAAAAAATTCATAATAAATGAATCAAATATTACAATTAAAGAGGTTTATAATGACTCAATACTGATCTAATTTTTGACTTCAATAAAAGTAGAAATTTGTAATTAGTGTAGTTCATAAAAAAGAATATAATAAATGAATTAAAATGTATAAATGTCACAATATTTTTCAAAAGATTGATAAAATTAAGACAAAAGAGAATTTATTTCATCAAAGAGAGTTCATAGTAGTGCCTCTACATAGAAATATAACTACCCTTATGCAATATGCAATATGCAAGAGCTAGCAACACTGATTGTGATGAATTTTAGAATATTTAATTATAATCCAAATGTATTAAAAAAAAAAAAAATTGAGTGGTTTAGATGAGATGAGGATTACTAAAATTTATGTATAATTCTTGGAGTTTGAGAATTCTATAATGAAAGAGAAGAGAATAAAATACTAACAAAACAACATGCCTGTGTTTCAGGTGTTGTCTATAAAGTGAGCCAGGAGCCTAGAGATTGGCGATGATGCCATTGAAGACTGAGACAATAACCGGTTGAATAGGGTGAGGAGATATGGTTATATAATATGTCTGCCCACTGGGTTGCCATTTACGTTTAATAAGTTAACAAATCATCAACACTATATATTATGTCTTCAAAACCTGTGGACAAATAAGCCAGACGCCAAGAAGAAGTTCAAGAACCTTCATCGCAGGTCTCTGCAGATCAATTAACAAAGTTATATTTATACTCTCTGGAACAAGTCTCGAGTTATATAGCTGTGTTTACTCTTCTTTATTCACTTCATCATCAAGAACTTTGAAGCCAGTGTTCTTGTTATCATGGAGTAATGGAAGGAGCGTATATATATGTTTGAAAGGTGAATATGGGAATGCTTGCTGTAGTGGTGATTCTTCTGATTTTTGCGAACTTTGTAGCTGCTGCGCGGGATGGTCGAGGGATTTCTAATTACACTCAGTTCAATTCTTCTTGCAATGGCGCTTCTTGCAATGTCTCTCTTGATGACAAGAGAGGGGTGCCTTCAGGATCTAATCCTCTGCATAACAGGTAGTAGTACTTTGGTCCAGGGGCGGATTTAATAACCACGGCCCCCACTCAATTTTTTTAAATTTTCAAATTTTATATTTATATTTATTTAAATTTTGTTCCTATAAAACTTTGAGATTTTAAGAATAAAACGGCCCGACCCCATCGTAAGTTTGGATTTTATTTTTGTAAAACCCCGTTTTTAATCCTAATATATTTATTACATATTGTTTGCGATTGTTATTTTTATGCAAGGGGATTTGTTAGTTTTTAAAAGTTTTATTGAGAGTAAAAATTAAAGGAACAAAAGCTGATGGGTTCGCACATAACTGAGGGGGAGAAATTTGCGTATTTTTATAATAGAAAGCTGATCAATTTAATCATTTTGTTCTCCTCTGTGGGTGATGTGCTTAAGGTTATTGAATGAGATGGTTTAAATCATGAACAAAGGGGTGAAGTATGAAATCTATTAGATTTAATATATTCCTTTGATTTTGCATTTAACTTGCATATGATGAAAAATATATTGGCAATTACTAATGAGTTGTCACAAGCATTGTAAAGAAAAGGTCAAGACATTGTAAATGCTATGGCCCTAGTCAAAGTCTCCAAACGACAGTTCCAATTGTTGAGAGATGAAGGATGATAATTTTTGTTGAGTGAAGTTTCTTCATTTTGCCAAAAGCATGATGTTGTTATTTTGAATATGGATGATATATTTGCAATTCAAAGGCGGCCACAACAGAGAGTTGGGCACATGACAAATTTGCATCACTATCGAGTTGAATTGTTTTATAAAGTGATAGATATGAAACTTCAAGAACTTATCACTCGTTTTATTGAGGTTGGTATTGAGCTGCTTCTTTGTATGACATGTTTAGATCTAAGTAACTCATTCTCTGTTTTTAACAAGCATAAGTTGATCCGTTTTGCCCAATTTTATCCATCTGATTTTTCTGCACTTGAATTGATGATACTTGAGAACCAAGCTGAAACTTATGTAATTGACATGCGTTCTTGTGATGAATTTGTTGAGTTACAAGGAATTGGTGATTTAGCTAAGAATTTAGTTCAGTTTAAAAAAGACATTTTTTATCTGTTGGTGTATAAACTTGTAAAACTTGCATTGGTTTTACTAGTTGCAACTGCGACTGTTGAAAGAGTTTTTTCTGCAATGAATTTTGTGAAAAGTCGATTATGCAATCGAACGGGAGATCAATGGATGAATGATTGCTTGGTCACCTACATTGAGAAAAATGTATTTGATACAACTGACGATGAAATGATTATTTAATGTTTTCAGAGTATGAAAACTCGCCGAGGACAATTGTAGAAAAATTATTTTATTTTTACAAAATTTGTGTTTTTTGAAGATATTTATTTGTATTATGTTATTTTTTATTGAAGCTCAACATAAAAATTAAAAAAAAAAAATGANTATCTTGTATGTATGTCTAAATATATGACATTTCTATGTTTTAATGATACTTTTGTTAATAATTAATCTACTAAACTTGTATAAGTTATATGACATTTCTTCGTTGGAAGTTTGAAGATGAACAGAGTATATTATTCTAATGTTTAAAATTTATGATAAAAGTGTCAAAGAGACTAGGGGAAATGTGGTTTACATTAAATGAACACATCAAACAGCAGCAAAACTAAAACCCATAGATAACATAAGAATTACTTCACTGACAACCCCAACATCATACTACGCTAAATCAGTAAATCTACAATTTCTTCTAAAGTAAAAATTTCAATAACGAGGTTTGCTTGTATGGTTTTCATTACTTTTTCTAAGTCAAGTTTATTCGAGTAAAAATTCATTCGCTTCCCAAAAAAAAATTAAAAAAAATTAAAAATAATAAAAATAATCGAAAAGGATTTGTTTTTGAAGAAACCTGTTTTTGCCGAACTTCGCTTCTGATCTCTCTCTGAGCCTCTATTTCGTTACCGAAGTGACGAAGTGACGAATATTAATCGAAGAAGACTGATGAGGCGATGACTGAAGTGATGAGAGACTGATGACGAAGTGACAATGCGGCCGCGATCTGAGACTGAGAGATTAGAGATGAGATGTTCAGATGAGAGTGAGACTGTGAGAGGGAGGCGTGACCGTGATTCGTGATGAGTCTGATGACTGATGAGATGCGAGAGAGGGAGACGTGAGAGGGAGGCGTGACTGCGTGAGTGTGAACTGTGACTCTGTGAGAGGGATTCGTGATGACTGTGACTCTGTGAAAGGGAGGCGTGAGAGGGAGGCGTCAGGCGTGAGAGGGAGGCATCAGAGGGAGGCGTCAGGCGTGAGAGGGAGGCGTCAGGCATGAACTGTGAAGTCTGTGATAAAAAATAAAAGACTTTTAGGGATTCATTCAGTTCAAAAATCAAAACAGAATAGAAGGCTTATACAGGTGCCCGCGGATGCCCACGGGTTCACCCGTATGACCCGTAATTTATTGGACCGGGTACGGGTACAGGTCACACAAAAATGGGTTTAATTTATTGAACCCATACCCTATATTTTTTACTCGGGTACGGACCGACCCGCGGGTCCATACCCGTTTTGCCAGGTCTAATGGGTAGGGTGTTTTAGTAAAATTTCAAATATAGGAGGTTAAAGAAATAATTCAAAAAATAATATTATAGTAATATTTAAAAAGGAGGGCAATTTAGTAATCTATATAATATACTCACCCATTTGTCCTCCCAACCAAATATATTATTCACCAATTTATTTGAACCAACTAAATACATTTTCTAAATATTCTCAGTAATCTTCAAGGTGATCTCTATCTTTCCGTTAATATAACATCTCCTATATTAAAACATAATATATGATCCAAACGTGAAAGATTATAAGAATCTTATATTATTTGATAACTAAACGTAAAAATCAAGTAATATAAAATTATATTATCTCAATAATATCATATAACTCCCAACCAAACGCAACTAAGAGCCTATACTAAATATTTTTAATCAGGTTGATGTATTCTGCTTCTAGAAACTTCACTTGTATGCAATATTATAATAATAAAAGTTTCAATTTTTCAATTTTTAAGAGTAAGAAATATTCATTTATTTCATAATACTGTAAATATTTACAATCTTTAAACCATACTCTCCAGGGGATAATATTATTTCCAATACTCTTTAAACTCACCCACTGTGGACTTCAAAGAAAATTGGTTTACATTTTAAGTGGGCCAACTCATTGGAAACACAACTTTATAATACAAATCCATGACCATTGATTTATGGTAATCCAATGACTTCAGCCTTCAAATATAACCAACTCTAACTTCCCACTTCATTTCTCTTCTCTTACATAAGCTATTTTTAACTAGATTTGAAGTTTAAACTATGTTTGAACCGAAATTAATTATAATTGTAGGTGGACAGGGTGCTAGATTTACTTAAGTAATCGGGCCACAAAGTGAGTTTGACCCGAAGGGATTTTAGTGCAAGTCCCTACGTTAAGGGAAGTAATTTTAGCTCCTATATAATTGATGAATATCCTCCGTTGATGAATACACATTTACTATATTTAAAAAAAGAAAAAAACTCTTTAAACCTAACTTAATACCGAAAATAACCTTCTAAACTTGATTTAGTTTTTTGGTTTACCCCTTCCAATAATTTCAAACTTGATTAGGTTTTTTGTTTATACATTTTCTCCTCAATTTTAAATTTGAAACATACTTATCTTCTTTAAATTTAGATTCATTCCATTGTGTGAGTACTTTTAATAACATATTTTCATCAAAACAAGAGGATTTTAGATTTCAATAATTATGAAAATTTAGATAGTTAAATGTCAGATTTATTAGCTCGTTGTTAGATGTTTTCCCCCTTGTAATCACTCGGTGTATAAGCAAACATAAGCAATAATATAGTAGTGGCCGCCGAACTACTTTAAAAGTCTCTTTTGTTCTTGCATTGTGAATTCACCAATCCATTCCTAGCTAATTATTTATAATCAAACGTACATCTTACTTAGTCCCGCCGTGGTCGACTGGATATTTCTAGTTATTGCGAGTTTTCATAACAACAAATTACTAAGTTGAAGATTTTATGTTCTTCCATTGACGTGGATTTGTTATAAATAGGTAAAAAAAGAATTTGATTTAAAACGCAGAGTGAAATGTAAATCCTTATGGTGTGAGAAATTGAAAAATGGTTGATTTGGTAAAATATGTTATATTGGACAGAGAAACATCAATGCTTAAATCAAAATATTCCTTTTCTATTAAAAATAAAAATAAAATAACCTTTTATCAATTTCAGTAATACTAAATATTAAAGGAACAAAATATTTAAATCAACTCTTAGATGAATTTTAAATGTTTTTTAATACAACTAAATAAGAGAATATTCATTTTTGGTGGAGTTAGAAATGAGTCATGTTGAAATATATACGCAATTTATGTCGTATCAAATTGGCCGAACGACTTACACATACCCAAGGTTTGTTGTAATGACGATTGGTACCCAAAAGGTTTGAAAACGACAAACATGTACCTTCTAATGGTGAAAAGACTAGAATGCCCTTGAAAGTTTGATATATTAGTTTTTCATAAAAATTTCTAAAAAACCCACTAGGTTTGCTAGTTTAACTAAACACCCCAATATATAAAAATTTTATTAAATGACAAAAACACTCCCACCACTTGTAGTGCCAGATTCCGGCCACCACCGCTAGAATCTGGCCGAAAAATTGTGTTACGACACAGACCCGTCGGATCTATATTGTAACGCGTCAATCTGGCCTTTTTCGGCCAGATCTGGTCGTCGAGGCCGCAAAACTCCATCTTGGGCCGTCGCTTGGCCATCAACGACAGCCCAAGATGTGGCCGTCGTTGTCTGTCAACGATGGCCAAGATTTGGCCGTCGCTGATCGCCAAAGATGGAGTTTTGCAACCTCGACGACCAGATCGACGCATTACGACACATATCCGATGGGTCTGTGTCGTAATGTAATTTTCTGGCCAGATTCCGGTGGTGGTAGCCAGAATCTGGCAC